ACCCAGCAGTGACCCTGGAGGTGAGGGTGGGGAGCCCAGGGTGAGCAGGGTGGGGAGGGTTGGGTGAGGAGAGCTTCTTGTCGGAGCGGGGAAGGCCTGGCTTTGGCCAGGAGGGGTGGTTCAACTGCAAAGGGGCAGAGAGTGGGGCAGGATCTGCTCACTGCGAGAAGATGAGGCTGCTGCCCTGGGCTGGGAGCCTGGCTCAGTCCCCTCCTCCTGGTGGGAGCACAGGAGGAAGAGCTCCTCACAGCTGCTGTGAGGGCCCAGAATGGGGTTTCTAGAGCAATGAAGTCAAGAATAACAGTACTAATGCACAAGGTGCTCTGCAGCTCCCTCTCTCCTCTCTGCCCAGGGCCGAGCACAAAATGGTGCCTCTGTTTCTCCTCCCCTGAGGTGGTCGCCCTTTGAAGGGACACCCTGTGAATGGCGCTTGGAGGAATGTGTCCTTTGTCAGGACTCCTGTCCTGGTAATGGCTTCACCACCAACATGGGCCCCTCTTTCCGCCTGAGTCTCTGCCCTGACTTTCCTGGGTCGCTCAGCTCCCTGGCTCCAAATGAGCCCCCAGGGAACCTCTACAGCAAACAAGGAAAGAGCAAGAGCAGCCCCCAGAGAGGATGGGCAGGCAACCCTGGTGACTGCACACTGCTCACGGGGCCACTGACCTTTTTCTACGCTGTACTTTTCTGACCCCAAAACCCAGGCTGAGGACCCTTCTTCAGGGCTCTTCCTAGAGGCTGGATTCTCCTTCGTCCTCCTCTAGGCTGAGGGAAAGAGAGAAAGTGAAGCAAAGGGACAAGAGGGAGCGAGATTGAGAGCTTGACTGGCTGGGGTGTAGGGGTCTAGAGCCAGGTACAACAAGCTTCTGGGGAAGGAGGGAGAAGTTGTGTGGGGCTCCAGCGCTCCCTGGTTTTTGTGCTGCAGCGGCAACCAAAGGAGTTCCGTCCCCAGGCCTGCTGTTGTGGCCACTTGTGCTGTCTCCCCTCGGTGCTCAGTGGTGGCGGTGATGGTGGAGTTGATGAAGGTGGTGGTGGATTGGATGAAAGGAGTAGTGGAGCAGGTGGTGCAGGTGGAGGCTGTTGTCACTGCCCATGGGCAACAAAGGGGTTAAAACCGTTAACTGCGGAAATCCGTTAAAGTCACCTGCTGAGCAAAACTCATGTATCTTGGACCCAGGGCCCATTTCCTCCCCCAGTGGTCACGGCACATCTTCTCTCAAAGTTAACATCTATAGATCTCATCTGAAGCCAAAAGTGGGAGGAGTCTCATCACACTGCAAGTATGAAAACAATTTTCAACACAATGCAGGTGCTCTAGGAATATCTCCAAGGTACTAGATGAATTAGAAATAGCATTGTGTGAATAGTCACAATCACTGTCCAGACCCTTTTTCTACATCTCAAACTCCTACAAAGAAAGACCCTCATCTCTGCCAAACCTGCCCTGTGTCTGCTGCTGCCTGGACCTGAACATGTGGGCAGGCGTGAAGCAGCCCACTCTGTTCCCCAGGGCCTGGCCCTCCAGCTGCCACAGTGGACATAGGATGGACAGAGCCAAGCAAAGAGGACAGGACAGGTGCAGTGGCTGCAGAGAGGGGAAGGACACCAGTTTGTGGATCACACACTCCGGAGAAGAGGGGCCAGGCTGCTTCCTCCTGTGACTGTGACTCTCCCTGGTGTCTTTCAAACCTTCCTCTCCAGGGACCCTTCTCTCAAAATATGGAGGAGGCACCCTAAGTGGATTTCTCCCAAGACAGTTTCCCGAATGAATTTCCAGTAATGTGTATAGATGGAAATACAGCCAGCTGACATACATTGAGAAGAATGTCCTAATTTACTATTAGTCACTGAAATACATGTTTAAAATGGGATATGTCTAGGATGTGTATGAAATGGACAATATTTCATACTATGGACCTCAGTTACACACATCTGAATAAATCCTAAGGAAGAAAAGAAAAATCCTGGAAAGCCTCAAGAATTATCCAGAGCATTTTCAAAGACCTTTAGTTGTGATAAGCAACACACAGAAAAGCACATTCAAATAAACATGTAACTGAATGAGCTACGATGAAGCGCACCGAGCACAGGCACTACCAAGTCGCCAGACGGACACAGCCACATCCTGAGCGCTGTCCCTTGAAAGCTCGGGCCTCACCCTCCACGCGAGAGAACCACAGCTTTGTTTTCCCAGAATGGGCCACCTGCAGCATCTGTGCGCCTGTGTCAGGATGGCCTGTCTGCCTGTTTTAGGGGTTCACACATCTGCACCCGCAGACCTGTGCTCTTGCCTCAGGCCTCTTTACTCAGCATCACAGGATGTCCTGTGTCCTGTGTCCACCTGTCCTGTGTGCAGGAGCTTACTGGAGATTGGGCAAGAACGGGTAGGAGGCTGAGTCGAGGGATTACTTGAGACACTGTGTAGAAGCCCTAGCACAGCACCTGGGCTGCAGTGGGCCTTCGGCACGGGTTTCATTCTTTCTCTTCTCTCTGTGGACATGGCACAACTCCATTTCTGGAGCAGATTCCCCACCCCACCACAATGTCAGTTCTTTCTGCTCTCAGCTCTCTGCCTTACCAGCCTGGAATCAAATTCTCTGTCCCCAGACAAGAAGGAGCCCAGTCTCAGCATTGTACGCTTTCTCCTGTCCACATGGCTTACCCTGCTCCTCCGAGAGCTCCTTATGATTTCCTCCCAGGAACAAAGATAGGCTGACCCAAGCTGAGCCTGCCTGCTGCCCACCATTTTTCTACACTGAGGCCTCATTGCCAAGACAACAGACCCTTCAGTTCATCTGTAAACTGCACTAAGGTAGGAAACCTGAATTTAATGGGGATTTCAGAGGAGAAAGAATATTTAGCTTTTTCTGGATATGTCTCCTTTTTTATTTTAAAGAGAAAATTAAAAAAAAAACAAAGATAAAACGAAACAAAACAATAAAAATGATACAGAATTTTAAAACAAGATGGTAGCAATTAACAACGATTGTTATATTACACATTGTTATCTTCAACAAAGTTGCTCAGATTACCAGATGTAAGAATAGAAGACTGATCAAACAAAGACAACAAAAATAATAAAAAACATTAGAAATGATACACAGCTTCACTAGACAATATGGAAGCAATTCACCAATGGTTGTTATAGTGCATATTGTTGTTTTCAAATTAGTTGTTCAGATTACCAGATATAAGCATGCAGAATTGGTCAAAGAAAGATTTAAACATTAACTGTTCCTTTCAAAAGACCAATAGACATCAGCAGCTCGATTATCCCAGCTATCCTTTTACGTACATACATATTTTTTCCTTCCTTCTTTCTTTCTTTTCTCTTTTCCCTCATCCCAGCTGTTCCTTCCTTTTGAGCAATTTCTTTCTTTACCTTTCACAATATCTTTTATATATTTTAGGGCTTTTCTTGTTTTGTTTTTTGTTTTTTTGTCTTTTTGAGACAGGGCTTTGCTATGCAGTTCAACCTGGGCTTGAGCTCACTTTGTAACCCGGGCTGGTCTCTACTCGCAGTGATCCTCCTGCCTCAGCCTCCCAAGTGCTGGGATTACAGGTGTGTGCCACCATGCCTGGCTACCTTTTAGGTTTTGTTTACTCTTTCAGGTTCTTACACGAGGGAGACAATATGATGTTTACATATGCAGGTCTGATTTATTTCACTTATGAGTATGGTCTCTAATTGCATCCATTATTTACCTATAAAAGCCTCGAGTTTATCTTTTTTTATAGCTGGGTAACACTCCATTGTATAAAAATACCACATCTTTTTTATCCATTACTCAGATGATGGACATTTGAGTTGTTTCCATGTTTTAGGTATGACAAATTGCACTGCTATAAACACGAGGGCACATATATCTCTGTGTTATTATGTTTTCAGTTCTTCTGGAAAAATACCCAGCAGGGGAATAGCAGGGTTGAATGGGACCTCTAATCCTAGTTTTCTGAGGAATCTCCACACTGATTTCCATAGTGGTTGTACCAGTCTACACTCTCACCAACAGTGGAGAAGGGTATCTTCCGGACATTTCTAAAGAAGTTGAAGCAAGAGGATGGGACCTGGAGGTGGTGCCCAAGTGAGATGTTGAAGGCTGGGAGATGTGGAGGGAGGAACACAGAGGCTGCCTGGCTTGGTCAGTGGCAGAGTTGGGCAGGGTAGGGTCTGGAGAAATAGCCTGGGTCCCTTACTGCCATTTCTATTCTATCCTATACTTTGTTCTTTAAAAAGTCACCCATGTGTCCCCAGTGTGCAGTTTCAATGTCTCATAGCAGTTTTCAAGGTGGGTGTTTTTGTGGTGGTTACCTTTGTGTGCCAGGTCACAAGAAGAATTCCTGTGGGTTTAAGAATAGGATTCAGTGGCGGGAACTTACTAGAAGATGTGAGAAGATTGTAATCCAGTCCTGTCATCATCTCATCATCAGGCAGGACCAGGCCTGGGCAGTTTTCTGGACATGTGGTAAGATAACTGCATCCAGAAGGACCTTGTTCCTGGGACCATCTCCCTTCCTGCAGGGCAGTGCAGACAGTGAGGGACAAGCAGATCGCTGAACTCTAGTGTGCAGGCTGAGTGCCAATAATTTACAAGGGGTCTGGGAGAGCCAGCTGCCCAGCACCAGTGGTCTGGGGACCTTTGCAAGTCCCGTGGCCCAGAAAACAGAGCTAGTGATAGAGTGTGAGGTTGGGTGTGGGTGCAGACTCTCCCAGGAGAAGCAGGGATGCCCGGTACCAGTTGGCCTGGGTCTGGGAAACACAGACTGAACTCCAGGGCTACTGGTGTCCAGTTGTTCACTTGACCCTGAGGACACCTGGTAGAAGGTCGAGCACTGCTGATGACTTTGTGTGAGTCCATGGCTCAGGTTTGAGAGAAAACCTGGTGCGTGTGGTCTGAGTCCCCACTGCAGCCCTGGGGTGCACCTTGTTTCCGTCTTGGCTGTTGGGACAGGGGTCAGAGTAGGTGTGGACAAAGCTAGATTAGGGCTGGGGAAAGGAGGCTCCTCTGTGAAGCCCAGGTCCAGCAGAACTTAGGGTCTTTGGGACTTGGGGTGTGGGAAGGCCAAGGAGTAGAGTTCCAAGTGGAAAGGATGTTCTTGCACGGACAGGGGCATTGACAGAAGTTAACTTCTTCCCAGGGCAGGAGTCAGCTCAGAGTTAAATGAGTTAACAGTTAGCTCTGTTCTGTGGATGGAATTTCCTGCCTGTCTGAGGTTTGCAGTTCTGCCTTATCAGCCCGGTCTCTAGTGGACATACGTGTCAACCCCTAGCACTCAAGCCAGAGGCTTTCGGAACTAAATCACCCCCACATCCGGCAAACGTGCATTTGGTCCTATCACTTGAAGGGCCTGTGGAAAGCCTTGGCCTCCGATCATTTCCTGCAGAGACCACACACTGCCCTCTAGCCTGACCTGACCCTGACCGGGGTTGTAAGGGGGAGGGCTCCTCTTGGGCTCTTCTGGGTTTCCATTATGCTGGTCTGGCCTGTGGCCCAGGGCTTCTGTCTGGCCCCTGACCCTGATTGCCTCAATCCTATCTCACACCTCTTTCTTCACACCCTGATCTTCACTGTGCATCTTGCTGCTATGGCTGCTGCCACTGAATCCCACTGTCACCTGACCACTGGCCTTGTTGTCATACTCCACACAGTGAGGACCTGGTATATGGTCCGCTGTCCCTCCCAGCTCGTGTCCATGTCCTAGGCACTGACTCACATGTTTGAGAAGCCATGAGGGCTCAGTTCTCCCCTCCCCAGCCCCTCCCCAACCCTTTCTTATGCTGAAAGCCTGGCCACTGTGTCCCTGGATTTGTGCACAAATGGACCTGGGGCACTGACTTCCCCTTCACGATCCCCGGATGGTCCTGCTGCTGGCAAACTATGCAGGAGCAGCTCATTTTTCACTCTTTTCGTCTTATGTACCCTCAAGGCAATCCTCCCAAGCAACCTTCCACACCACTGAGATCACTTGGGTGTAAGGGCTCATCCCTGTCCTATAGAATCAGCCTTCTCCAGTTGTGCCTGCCTGTTGGAGACCACTATAAAGTGGTTCTGAGCTGGATTTAATATTAACCAATTGGTGTTTCAAGTTTGCTTGGGAGTTGTCTGAAGCTTAGGCATCTTATCTAAAGATGGGCAGTTGACTCATAGTAAATAAACCTCTATGGGTCACTGGTCACCACCGAGGCCTATGTTGGCTTGTGAAGCTGTGATGCCTCAAAGGACAAGATAAGCCCATAGCTGAGGACGTCTGGTTCCAATCCCAATTAACCACAAGGAGACTGCATCTGCAGGCTCTATACTCCTACAATAAATGCCAACCTAAAGATAAAGTAGTTCTCCTGATTGACATAATTACTACTTGGGAAAATTCTCTCAAGGTCCCGCCAGATTCCCACATTGTTTGTAAACCAAATACATATGGACTACCCAGAAAAGTCTTTGGCTAAACTCAGAGAACATCAAAGCTGTAAGAGAGTTAGTCTCTCCTGGAGCCCTGAAATCATTGTCATTGTCTCATTTATTTAAATGTTCACTGTCTACTCTCTTGGGAGACTGCGGGCCTGATCAGCCTGCAATAACTAAGGGTTATTTAACCTGATACCTGGTTGGCTTCCTTTGGACCCTAGATCTAGGCAGAAGGTCTCTTACTTCCAGTGATTTTGTGAGGGACCCTGGACAAATTGCTGACCTTGTGTAACCCTTTATGCTTATCACAACCACGGATATCTGCACCAGTTTCATGCCACATGTGGGTTTAAAAACTGAGGCCTTGTGAGCTTGCTCAGTGAGATCAAGGGTGTGGGCTCAACAAATATTCCTACAGTATTTTATCCAGAATCCCTTACCCAGGAGCCTCTTACTCCATTATCAGCTGGCTGCCTCTGCTACTAGAGCAGAATGCAAGAGGGCCCCTTGTGACACCACACTTTTCTAATTCTCTTTTGCAAAATAAAATTGCCCTTGGGGATAGGAAATACCCAAAGACAGATATCATTATTCCTACAACCTACTCACTGCTACATTTTAAAATAGCCTCTGAAACCCAGTCACAGTGACAGAATAGGATGGAAATGTACATTTGTGACACAGCTGCCTACACATATGGTGAGGTCTTCACTCACCACAAGGTAATGCTATTAAACCTAAGCAAGTTGATTGTGGAGTAAATCATATATTTGTGGCCAGAGGATAGGAGTAAACAGGTTACATAACGAGACATGCAAGTCACTGTCCCCATTCTCTGAAGGGTGGGCAGATCCAGGAGGGCCCTCCTTTCAGACTCTCAGCAGTAGCATACTATGCCTCCTCTGCTGGGAAAAACGTTTACCGAGATTTTTTTTTTTGGGTACCACTACATTTTGGCCTAATGTACCTCAGGATTTCCTCCCAATAATCAGTTTTTCTTATTTTTGGCACAAATGACATAGTTTTTAGTGGTTTTTGTTTTAACTACTCTTGCATTATGACAATTATCTGACCTATTGATGTCCTTAAAGTCTACTCATGTCCAGGAAATTACACAAAAATATGAGGCCTATGGACATGAGTGGAATTTTTGTGTGAGATAAGGAATCTCCCTTTTCAATTCCAAACATGACATTCCCCCAAAATTTAAAGTGTAACTGGACTATGTTCTAACACATGAAAGAAGTACTTATGACGACATATGGATAAAAATAAATGACTGAATAAATAAACAAGAGGAGAGAGATGAATTTCCCATGAAATTTGTTCAAATAATGTATGTAGATATTTTGTTTTTAAGAAGGTGGAACATAACTCTTATTTCTGTCCATGGTGCCATGTGGAAAGAGGGAAGAAGAAGGTGGTGCAGTGGTGACACCTGACAAACACTACCTCAGCCTGGTGGTAAAGACTGGGATTATTACGGAGTTTGCAGAAGACAGCTGATGTTGACCTTGACCATGCGTGCTCCCAAGAGCCTCCACAGCCCAGATATAACACCACACTTTGCCCTTTGATAGTATTTTAAGTCCTGGATTGAGTTCTTATCTCCAGTTCTAAGAAAGCATTCTCATCTTCAGATGGTACCTTTTTTTGAATAGCTTTTTAATGGGATGCACTTTTGCAGTGAGATGTTCCTAGCTTTTGTCAGACTCTTAAAAAGGGCCACAACTCAAAATAGCAGTGTTACATCTATAGCAAGGCCACCAAATATCCCCAAGGTCAATCTCAGTTCCATAGGATTTAGTGAATATGGAACAATTCCAATTGGTTTTGGAGCTCAGAAAATGATATCCTGAACTATGGCATGTCTCTGCTTACTTTAAATTAAAGGTACATAGATATATGTGGAAATTTCCTTTTAAATGTGGGAGACTGGGATGCACAGATATCTAGCTTTCTGAAATTATGGGGTGTGATCCAGAAATATACTTTATATAGGAGGTAGGACATGGCAAACCTGGCTGGGAAAATAGGTGGGACCTTTCATTTACAAGATTCCAAGACAGCACCAAATAATTCCCAGGACCCTGTATATGGAACTTTTCATGGGATCCCAAAAGATGTGGATGACATATAAGGATAGACACCACAAGGATCCCATAGTCCTGACTTCATGGTAGCTTACTCCATGTCTCCCATACACAAGGTGTAATTTTATTTTTGCTCCTTTTCTCTTTTGTTTGGCCCAAGTTCACTCTGCAGAGCCACTTTTCCACTTACCCTTTCATCTGGATGTTTTCAAATAAACTTTTGCCACCATTTTTGGCTTGTCTCATCCCATTCTTTGAAGCAAGAAGGGCCAGGATGTCTAATTGGCAAGCCATTTCTAAAGGACCTACCCAATAACATGGTGCATGAATAAATTTTAAAAATTATTTTAGTGAAATACACACTGCCATTAATTCCCCTCAAAGTGCCCCTCACCCATTTGAACACCCTTCTCCCACCATGTTATGAGTTGTACTCTTGTGGCTGCCTGGATATTCTGAAACAAGCCATTTACTTTTCATGGTCATTTTGACTTTGGGTGATAACTACAAGTCACGAAGTACAGAATATATGAATAAAGTGCATGAAGAAAGATTGTTATATTTTTAGAAGCCTGCCTTTCTGTTGGATGGCAGGTAGCAGCAGTGTTCACCATATTTTTATCACATCTTCTAAAGACACTCACAAAAGAGGACTTCAGAAATGCTTCAGAAAACAGCAAGAAAAATGGAATAAGTGTGTTCACAGCAAGGCAAAGAATTATGAAAGAGATCAGTGGTGCTGTGTTTTTGTTATCATTTTTTTTTTTTGATACAGGGTCTCACTATGTAGTTCCAGCTGTCTTTGAACTCACTATGTAACTCAAGGTGTCCTTGAACTCATGAAATCATCATGCTTCATCCTCCCAAGTGCTGGGGTTACACTGTGTACCACCACACCCAGCCTTGTGATGTGTTTTCCATCGTAATACATTTTTAAAATTTAAGCATTCACCATCTCCTAAGGAAGCTTTAAAGAAACGTATCAAGGTTGAAACTGACTGAATCCTGGAAGAAAGTTGACATGGCCACCTTCTGGAGCAAAGGTGATAGGAATTCCAGACAGACTGATGGCAACACAAAGTAGAGGGTTGGATTCCACTTATCACTGGTCTCAGAGAAATGTGCTGCATTGTCCAAGAAATTCCTGGAACTTGGGTGAAGGGGGTTTAGGCAGAAAATGTGCATCTAGAAGGATATGAGTTTCCTTCACCCTTCACATGATGTCAGGAAATTCAAAAGTTCTCGTGGGCACCTACAGGAAAATCAAAGCCTTCAGCGGGCCATGGGTGAGAGAATGCCTGAGGTCAGAACAAGGAGGTCAGAGTGCATGGAGATCGCTACATGAGCCCGTGGCCGGATCATCAATGTCAGCGGTGGTTCCCAGACTCCCCTAAGATAAGCAAGACCAGACAGCAAAAGAACGACCTTCAAAGGCCCACAGATTTCAGAGAAAAGTAACACCATGGAACTCCCTCCTCAGCTCCACAAAGAAAAGGAGGGCGAGCAGAGCAGAGTGAAGAAGGTGGGGAGGAGGAGATGGGAAAGTCCATTCTTGACTAGTCCTGTTGTAGTCACCCAGCAGTTGGTTCTGGGGTTGAGAGTGTCTGCCTGACTCTTTCCCTCAGGACATTTCACATTTCTTTCCCATGCTGGGGCTCTCACAGCACGGTCATAGGTAATGACTCTCAGGACGCCACTATTGTCTTCATCATTGGTTCCCAGTTCTTGAGTGGCTCACTTCCAAAAGATTTTCTCTACTGGGACTCTATTGATCTCTCAGATAGATCTGTCAAAACATGTAAAGGTCCTACTTCCAGTTTTTTTTTAGTGTTGGGGTTGAACTCAAGGCCTCATCGTCTGGGAGGCTGAGGCAGAATGATCACAAGTTCAAGTCCAGCTTTAGTAACTTAGCAATTTAATAAGACCATGTTTCAAAATAAAAAATGGGCCAGGGGTGCAGCTTAATGTGAAGACCCTACGCACAATCTCCAGTATAGAAAATAATTTTACTTTCAAGCGATGAAAACCGTATTTATTTGACCCATCAGTGATGATGCACCCTGGCAGTCGCAGCACTCTGCACACAGTCTGTTCCCGCAGCGTCTCCCAGTGGAGTTTCTCAGCTGTGAGTCAGGCATCTGTCTTCTCCCTTCCCAGGTACAGCAGACACCTCTCTCTGAATGGTCTCATTGCAGCTCCTGGGGGTCCATGGCTGGCATCCATGGTGTAAGAAGGGAACTCATATCACAACTCACTCCAAAGAAATCCTCTTCCATTTTTCTCAAAGTCTAATCTTTTTATACCTTCAGCATGGGTGAGAGATTAAGAGCCCCAAACGCAGTCTATAGAATCTGCTTTGCAAATGCAGCACATGGAAAATATTGTTCTCCAAGACATTTGACTATATCCTCCAAGTGTTTTAGCTTTCACGAAGTATGTGCTGTATGTACACAGGGCAAATGGATATGAATTCAGCTGTGTTCTCTGGCCAAAGAATACAGACTCTGGAGAAAGCTAAGAAACTCTAGCTATCTTCCCTTCTCTGTAACTGAGATTATCATTTTCTCACTATTTACTTTGAGAAATCGCTCACTCTACTAAACTCAGTGTCTATGGTTGCAAAGTGCCCTGCCTAGTTAGCAGGATGCTATGAAATTAAATGAGAAAATGCATTAAGATTGATCTTTACAGTGTCATAATTCTTTGGACCCTACCTTCCCAGAGGATATATCCTCCTCCTAGACCCTGGCCAAGTCACCAGCCTGATGAAATATCATCCTAAAATACAGGGCTGCAAGGTCCACCGAGGATCTGAACATTTCCTGAGAGAAAGTGCATTCTCAAAGAGCTAAAACAGAGAGAAACACAGGACCAGCTCTCACACCATGCACTCTCACTGTGAGCCCATGCCAGAGCCGGCACAATGCTAGCTTCACTTGAAAAATCCCACATGGCTACAGTGGATTGTGAGTGCAAGGATGGCTGAACACAGTGAAATGAATCTCAGTGAAACAACCACCTGGACAACAAGCATCCCTTGTTAAGCAAAGGAGCCAGGTGGTCTTTTCTCAAATGAAAGTCTGAGAGCCAGAGATATAGCTCAGTGGCACAAGTGCTTTCCTGGCAAGCACAAGGCCCTGAGTTCAATTCCCAGTACCCCCCCAAAAATTTGAAATGTTTGCACTCTTGAGCCTGTGGTGGGTTATCTTGTTTGTTCCTGCGATGCCCTTGAGGCATCATTCTGGTCCTGGCTCAATATACTTGCTTTTTTTTTTTTTTTAAATGGTGCTAGTCTCTTCAGTAACTATATCTCATGGCCCCAAGTTACATGTAATTTTTGTCAGGTCAAAATTTAAGGTTTTCAAATCTTTCTACTCTACTTTTTGTACATGATTCTCACTCTAAATCAGGCTAATACAGGCAACAATACCCCGGCCATGCCTGAATATTGGGCTGCCTTGAAATTTCCTTTTCCAGATCAATTAGACAGCCACATTTAAATCCCGCCTCACCAAAATTTTTAGAACATGGGCAAAACATATCTATTTTTTTGCCAGACTCTAGCACACATAGCCTGTAGTCCAGTTCTCAGTGGAGCTCTCATTCCTATCTGAAAATCCATGAACTTGGTTGCTACTGCTCACATTTCTGGGGAGCGTTCCAGCCTCCCCAGTGCCCATCAGAATCGCCCATCAGACTCTGCTCACAGTACTTTAGACTCTCTCTAGCTTGCTTCTCCAAGGTTTTCCAAACACCTCCCACAAACCATTTCCAAAGGTTTCAGATCACAAATTTATGTAGAATAACAGAAAAAAAAATCCCACTTCTTGTTACAAATTTTCTGTATTGATCAGTTTTCCATCCCCGGATAAAATACTTGACACCCACAAAGGGAAAAAGGGGAGGTTTATTTTGGCTTATGCTTTTAGAGATTCCAGCTATGGTCAGCTGGCCCTGAGGTAGAAACCTACGGCAGTAGTGTGTGGCAGGGGAAAGCTGTCCGACTCATAACATTTGAGAGATATGAGGAGAAGGGCTCCACAGAAGAAGGAATCAGATCTAATCCTCAAGATGACACTTTCTTGACCATGATGATGGATACACATTAGGGCTTTATTAGACTATTAGGCATCTCTCAAGCTTAATTAATTCACAATTAAGATTAACTATTAAAATTACTCTTTTAGATTCTGGGAACAGTGTCTGGCAAAATCACATATAATATTCCTAGCACCAAATCCTGGTTTCCTCGGAACCATCAGGTGGATCAGAGTGCCTGACACCGAGCCAGCCCTCACCGGGACAGTGGCAGCCCCAGGATCTGATGACACAGAAACCGCTCCACCCAGCTCTGTTTCTGATCCATGAGAATCATCAGTGGTATGTGCTATAGAGTGTGGGGTGTGGGGAAAAGATCTCTTCACAAAGAAATGCGATGTTTCCTGAGAGAAAGTGCCTTCTCAAAGAGCTAACACAGAGAGGAAC